GCTAACTTTTGCAAGCACACGCAGTGACCAGTCTAGTGGGAGGAGAGAGAAGCAGGAATTTTAAGTCTGGCTGACAGTCTCAGGAAGTAACGTGGGAAACAACACACCTAATTCCACGTGGGGTTTGTCCTGCTTCCTCCAACCTGCTGTCTCGCATGGCGTGGGACAGGCGCGGGCTTGCTGTGCACAGAGGTGAGGAGGGGATGCACATTCCAGGGAGTGGGAAAGGGATGCTTTGCTCTAGCATGAGTCATGGAGCCACTGAGAGATCCTCAGGGGGGACTCATCACTCCGCTGTGCCAGACGGTGATTTTCAGAGGCTACAGGCTCCCACAGCAACCCCCAGGCTCTCACAACACACAGCCTGATGCAAATTAGTACATGCAAGGCTGTCTGAGAAATCAGACACAGGAAGGCTGCAGCTCAAACAGTAATGAGAAAGCTGGGCTTGCTTTTGGGATGACTGCAGAGTGCCAGGAGAACACAAAATGTTTAAGACCGTATCTTCCTAACCTTACCAGTGGTGTTACCACAAAGCCTATACACACAGATATCATGCTGCTATGAAGCAAGAAAGAAATGAGGACCCACCGGAAAAAGATCCAAAAGAGGTTTCCAGGAAAGCAGCAGGATGGCAGCTTTGTTTATGGTTTTGGGAATTTCAGAGTAGAAGAGCGTGTTCTCCCTGTTCTCCCCAGACATTGCTGTTGCGAAAGCAGGAGGGAAAAAAAAAAGAAAAAGAAAAAAAATCAGTTTAGTTCTATGTTAATTCGAACACTTTCAAAGGATGCTCAGGAACGGTTTCACAGAACGGCTCAGCAGCCCCTTCCTACCAGGAGGAGGATGGAGTCTCTGCACTGCGGGCTCGCTCTGGGAACTCCCTGTTTCACAGAAATGCAAGTCACAGAGACGGCAGAGGACAAACTGCCAGGCTTACCACACACTGCCTTGAGAATATCTGTATCTTCCTGAATGTTAGTGGCCCTCCTATTTTATAAGCTTTTAAAATCTAGAAGGGCCCTTCTCCTAATTTCTCTGGCTGGGTTAGAGCATAAGGCAGTTCATGTTTCAAAGACAATGCATCTCTAGAGAGGACTGAATGTTCCTTTCTCCTTTCCCTCAATATTGTTGATTTCCAAGAGCTCCTGCCAAGGCACAAAAGGATGAGTCTGGACAGAGCCAGATGTGCACTGGGGAAGATCAAGGCAGACTGATAACTCAGGAGGTGGCACCTAGGAAACCTGAGCTCATCCCAGAGGGAATCAGCTCTGCCAGCCGCAACCAGTCACCCTCAACATGCTAGAGCTCAGTATTATTCCAGGACTATCACCCCCTTTCTATGAAAAGGGGAAGGGAGACACACCAACAGCTGTGTGTCCGTGTCGCTGCCCAGCAGAGCATGTGCAGAGAACCTCTGAATCACAAATCTGAGCTTAAACAACGTCTCTAAGCAGCAAGAAAGGGGCTAGAACAACGTTCTGGTTCCTAGTCCTTTGATGCAGCCATTGCTTTACGCCAAACCCCCTTTTTCATAGACATACATTCAGCTGGAGCATCTTTTGACAAAACATTCATTTATTAAGATGCCTGCTCCAAAAAACAACCCAAAAGTTTGCTCACAGTATCATCTGCAGCGCCAAATCACTTTAAGTACAGCCATAACTCAATAATTTATCAAGTGAGGAACTGAGGCCAAAAGTGATAAATTACATTAGCTTCTTCATTATTAAGACCAAAAATACCAGAAAAAAATATTTCCATTTTAAGCTGCCCCCACCCTGCACTGCTATTCACTAGCTACAGAATCATTGAAAAACCTACTCCATCTCCAGCTGAGGCACGGAGGACTTTCAATTTTTTTGTTATAATCCCTCTTACAGAGGTAAATATGCAGAGAGGGGAGAAAAAAAAATTAACTCACTAATAGTAATTAAGAAAAAAACAGATCAAACTGCCACAGCTTTTGGAGAGAAGGTATCATATTTGGAGTGAAAGAACACAGCCCAAACAGGCTTGAAACAGCTTCTCAGCTTGGGAACATGTCCCAAAGGGCACATCACTTTTCTTTCTCCAGTTCTAACAAGCCTAAGAGAGGTCATTTCCAACCACATATGATTTTCTGTGCGAAATCACATGGCAAGTTTTAATCACAGATTACCATCAAGACATTCAATCTGACTGCCATCAAACCCACATTGAGTTATCTTCCAGATCCATCCAGTCCTCAGGAGCTGTCAAACCCAAACAGCCTCTGCAGTGAGTGCTTAATGAAAGCACGAGCTGCCCTGGGAAGCTTACCCAGATAGTAGATTCTATCCGAATGAGGTCCATCAGGGTCATTTTTCTTCACGAACGTGAAGTCATGAGGAGCTTTTGCCATCATGTAGCCATGGTACTTGCGCGTGTCGGTGAGCAGTTTCCGAAGCTGGCTCCATGAGTGCCTCTCCACATAGAAAGGTTCCAGTTTGGGCTGCTCCTCTCTCTGCACCTGCTCCTCACAACCTGCAGTTTCGAAGATTTCAAGGCCCGGCTGTTCAGTTTCCATGGCTGCTGCCATGTTGCATGTTTCTGGAAGAAAAAAATAGCAGAGGCTCAGCACTGTCCTTCAGCAGTCCAGCAAACATGCCCTTCAGACTCCCAAAACACAGTTCAGTAGCAAAAGCACTGCAAGGAAATCATTATTTTCATGCAGGAAAACCTGGCAGCAAGAAAACGGCTGGGAAATAGGTATTTGCTGGGGAAAACAGGCTGCTATGATTCAGCCTTTCAGCATGGGGCTAAGAACTTCATAGATCCATAGACTTACTGCCATTTGCCTTTTCCCCAAACAACAACTACTCATCCTCATTTCGGTTTGTGGAGCAGATAAGCTCTTCCCCGTTCAGATTTGTTAAGCTCCTTAACACTTCCTTCTTTCTTGCTGTGAAGAGCATGAACACCACCCTGGCACACTGCTCTCAGGGCAGGAGATGATTAGGACTGTGGAGAGACCTGGGACCACCAGCTGCACAGAGGAAACAACACTAGTAGCTGATTTGCAACCATCAGGCCATACCCAACTCTGCTGTGCAACCACGTGCCCTTATTCCCATTATTCCATAATGTGCTGGGTTTGTCTGCGGAACCGAGCTGCATCCGCACCATTTCCGAGCAGCTAAATCAAGACTGCGGTTCTCCCTGCCAGCCCCCAGCTCGCAGCTCTCCCTCGAGGTGGGAGGCAAACAACATCGCTGTGCCCCCGCTGGGCTCGCAAGCGCGCTGCTTGTGGAGCGCTGTCTCCAGGGCTCCTTTCCAAAGGCTGCACTACAGCCATCCCTGGTGCATCCCTGTCTCCAGGCTGTTCTTTGGTGCGTGGCATGTCCCTTGGCTGAAACACAGCACTGTAGGGCCCGCTCACAGCTACGGGGGCTGCTCTTCCAGAAGTGCAGCACAGTACCAAAAGGAAAGGGATACGACTAGGAAAGCATCTTCCAGACTGCTTCATCTGCAGCATGCGTCTTATCCTCCTGAACAGATTGTTCCTTTAGCAGTTGCAACATCCTGAAGTTATCCATGTTTTGCACAGCTGAGCTGGACTAAAAAGCCTGGAAGCCCGACGAGGGGAAACGCTCTCCTTCAGCTGTGAATCGTTGATTTGAGTCCAACAGACACAAACTCCCACCACAGAGCACCTTGCTGGAGAGGACTATCAATCCAGAAAAAGATTTTCCCGTTACACATAATGGGAAATCTGCACAACCATCCAGGATGCTGCTGAGGAGAGGCAGAGTGTGATGAGACGGATGAGACTCGCTGCACTAAAAGGAGGCTCTGGACAACACGGACCAAACCCAATACAAACACAACGTGCTACCAGTGAGGAAGGGCACAATGAATTAAAAATGCTGTTTGCTTCCATCACACAACGATCTCTTCTGTCTGAGCTATTCCCTGTGGAACCTGGAGAGCTCACACCCATACAGACAACAACAACCCTTCTCTATATTTGCTCAGACCAAATTGGAAAATGGGAACAAGGGCTCAAATGGAACCCCAAAAACCTCACCTAACAGAAACCCTCCCAAAAAAGAAGCCTACCCTTTTAACGATTAAAAAAA